AATCTGCAGTAAATACTGTATCCCAAGGTATAAGGTTTCACCACATGAGCTCAGGCCCCAATCCAATTTCCAGCACTCAGGGGACTTCATTGACCTCAGTGCATTTTTCACTGAATCTTAATGTATATAGGAATTTAAAGACAGCTCACATGATTAAAATTCAAGTGACATATGTGGTTGATATGGACAAGAGGTAGCATTTATTGCAGGTTTTGGATGTTCTAAACTACCATGTCTTTTTGATCTTTAACCACAGAACACAAAGTAGTTTCTGGTAACATCTACTTTTGCTCAACTGAGTGAATAATGAAGCTTGTGTTTCACCAACTTTGATGTTTTGTTGAAACAAACAAACAGCACAGGGAAAAACATTTTGCAACAGAATGCTGTTTAAAGCCATGATATCTTACAATTAGCACCACTGAACTTAGCACTTCTTTTCTGCGGGGCCCTGTAAGTCACTTGACCTCTCTGTAGGGAGAACTCAGTTATATGGGTGTGGATGAGGCCCTGGGCAACATGATTCAGTGCTTGATCTAGCAGTTTACAACCCTGGCCATGGCACGGGGGTTGGAACTAGATGATTTCTGAGGTCCCTTCCAACCCAAGCCATTCTATGATTCTAGGATATGTTCCTGTGTCTAGAGCTTTACTGAACTAATTTCAGTGTCTTATCAGTGCTTATAAATATCTGAAGAGCAGGTGTCAACAAGATGAGGCCAGGCTCTTTTCAGCCTAGCAACAGAACAAGGGGTGATGGGCACAAATGGGAGCTGCCCAGAGAGATCATGGAGTCTCCTTCTCTGGAGATACTGAAAACCTACCAAGATTTTCTTCTGTGCAACCTACTGCAGGGAACCTGCTTTAGAAGGGGGTTGGACTAGATGATCTCCAGAGATCCCATCCAACTCCTATGATTATGAGATTCTGTGATCCACTGTCTACCTCCATCCACACCTGTCATTACAACAACAGGAAGGAAGGCAGGGGCTGAGCAGGCAGGATGGAGTGGATGAAATGGGAAGGATTAGAACTATGCCTCAGTGCCCCCTAAAGTGAGGGCTCATTCTCAAGTTATGGAATAAGTAGGAAATGTCAGACTTCTGGTATTCATTTTTCTTTTGGAAATGTTCTCATCCATGAGGTGTTTGACCAGTGGAGCAATGAGATAACTTGTTTTCAGTTCTGACAACAACTATATTTTCAGGCTTCTGTGTGTACTTACTCAGATTTAAGGCTGTCCTTTACTTAAACCTGGATGCCATGATGTGATGGAAGTGCTTCTTATTAACAGACACCTAAGTTAATTATCAAGATGACTTGCAGGTTTACATGTCTACAAGTCAATGCTAGAAAATAGATGGCCCAGATATCTGTCTGGGACGTTTTTACATAATTGCATGGGATCAGTTACTAAACTTGCTAAGCTGGGATCGTGAGATTAAGATAGCCTGGATACTCATGGCTTTTAGCTTGCTCTTGTTACTCACAAATAGTACAGAAGAAGCTTTTAGCTGAGAAGTCAAATGAAATGGTGCGTAAGTTTTTGGTGTAGGATGCTGAGGTACTCTTTTAATATTTTAGGAAAGGTTACCAAGGTAGCAGATGGAGAAGCTGTACTGTTTAAAGAGAGAGGATAGGAAAATAAAGGCTGACAATCTGAGTAATTTGATTGGTGAAATACCAATAAATACCCTTGACCTGGAGTTGGATTGGGGTAGGAAAATTCTCATTAAGCTGCTCAATTCTTAGTGGGTATTTATCGCAGTAAGAGCAAAATGCCTCTTTTCCTGTGGGTTGGCTACACAAAAGAGAGCCACTGCTCTGGCTGAAATAGCCATTAATGAGAAAATTATGTCTTGAACCTCTGATGTATTTGAAAAGCGAGAGAACATTTTTTCCTGTTAACAGACTAGAAGTCTGTTGAAAATTAAGTGCACAGAAAAAGAATCTTGAAGCTGCACATGTTGTTATGCAAGGAGACTGCTTCTCTGACATCGGCCTATGTTAAAATCCCTCATTTTCTTGAGGACAGGCAATTAGAAGTTTGCATGTCAGATTTTGTTCTTTTCTACCTGATATCTTCACTTTCCATGTGCTTTATCTCTGCATCCCAGCCTAAAATGGGAGCAGTCTCTCACATGCTCATCTGTTGGTCTTTTTCCTGAACCAAAGACCCTTAATTTCTTGAAAGGTGTAGCACCTTCCTCTCACTCTCTCCATTTTATCTGATATTCCAGAAGACTTTTTTTTCAGAAATGTGTTTTTTTCAGCAGTGCTCTAAAATGCCCAGGTTTCAAATCGCCTTGAAAAACAAAGAATGATTAAAACCTCAGCTCCTTCCTTGACCTTTTCATGTGCTCCAATTAATTTTTCCCTCCCTCTGCTTCGCCTGCAAACTCCCTGGCTGCACTCTGGCCTGCACTGCCCTGACCTCTTTTCATCTGGCTGCTTTATACCCCACAGATTTCATCCCTGTCCTTCCTGCAGCAGCAGAGCTCATTGCCAGCAAGCTCCTCCTGCCTTGCTCACCTTTTCTAACTCATCTCTTCCTCAGCACCTCTATATTTGCCAATATGTATTTACTTATTGATGTGATTTGATTTTCTCCCAATTTGGGGCTCTCTTAATTCTGGCATCTTTCTCATTCCTCACAGCCTGGCAGGACAGATCAGGGAACCACAGAAACCATCTCAGCAGGGGAATACAAAGAAGAGAGGCCAAGGGAGGTACTGAGAGGTACTGACAGTGCATTAAGGAGGAAGAAGAGCCAGAGCCATTTCTGCTCACAGGCACTCCTCCCACAGCTGCTCTTTGCCCCCTCCTTCCTTGCTCTGTGCCTCTCCCCGTCTCCCTGGTCACCTCTGTGGGATCTTCTCACAACATGCTTGAACCAGGAGGCTTATCAGGGAATATCTGTAAGCCCTGGAGACAGATTTCAAGAAAAAAACATACTAACTGTTCCACTGGGAATTCACACAGCACCTGAAAGTTGTTGAACTTCCAGGAGAAGCTGGGGATAGGCTGTCATTTTAAGCACATATGTCTTCCAAATGCTTGTATTGTCCATGTCTCCAGGGTCCCTTTATTCTGTCTTTGGCACAAGATGTGCAGGAAAAAGTCTGATTGGTATCTTTGGATACTGAGTTCCTGCTGAAAGTAGATCCATGTGAATTCTCACACAAAGGGAAGACGAAACAAAGATGTCAAAGTATGTATTTGCAGGAAAAAAAGAACATCAAACAGCAAAGCAAACAACCACCACTACCAACAAACTCCCCAAAGCAGCCAAAGAATGAAGAGAAAGAAAATAAAGGCTAAAAAACAGTGATCTCTGAGTTCTGGCATGGTTTGGCTATTTGGAGCTTAGGATGGGAATTATCTATCAAAGTCGATGCTAAACAAATGTCAACATGTATCTTTCAGGCTCTAAAATTTAGTCTTTGTTTTTCTTTAGCTCTTCTAAGAGTAAGAGAAATAGCAATATAATGGGATAGATTAGAAATTACAGCTAGAAGGAGGGAAAAAATCTAGCAGCAGTTTCACTCTGTTCTGGTAATTTGTAAAACATTATGTACTTATTGCCCAGGCCTTGTTCACGTCTGTGCACACAGACCTCATCTGTGTGAGACGTCCGTTCGGGTCAAAAGCATCTTTGCAGACCCAAGAAATGCATGTGAAGGGCTGTGCAATGATCTGGTATGTAAAGGAACAGGTCAGATTTTTTTTTTCCTGCTATGAATACATATGCATTCATATCTTATCAGCATAATAGGTCATTTGAGGGTGAGATTTTCCTTATACATATGTATATATTGCTAATATATTATCTAGGCCCACATTTCCCAGGGCAGTGGAAGATTAGATTCCTCAGTAACAGCCTGGTGCAGCACGTGCTTCCAGGTGACATAGTGTGACCACATTTGCTTGTAGGCCAAGGCCATATCTGGACTCAGCAGGCACTAGAAGCACAGTTCAACTACCAAATGGATGTTTCTTACAATTCCCTGAAGCAATATCACCAGGACAGCCACAGCATCATGCAGAACCCTCCAGAGCTATATCTAGAGGCTCACAGATCGATGTGGTTACTCCAGAGCTGTGTAAAACCTGAATCACTAGCTCCAACTTCTTTGCAGAGCTAATAAGTTTGTGTGAAGGTACTTGAGAACCAACTGACAAATTACTGAGCAACTAGATCTAACTGGGCCTGTTTTGGGCAGGGTGTTTGACTAGGTGACCTCCAGAAGTCCCTTCTAACCTGAATCATTCTGTGAGTTGATAATGATGCACCTATATTGCATCCAGTTCCACCAGTTCCAGTCTTAGTACCACCTTGATAATATGTTTCACCAAAAATGCTAGGACTGCCCTTAGGTCAAAAAAAGTAAAAGTTGCACAAGTGTATTGTGGGGCAGCTGTCTAAATGCCCAATGCAAGGAACCAGTGTACTGGTGGTCCATGCTGTTCCTGAGACAGCTATGGCAAAGTTGACTTTGTCACATGCATGTGCTGCAGTCTCACCTCCAGGTATGCAGTGCATGTTCCGAGTAATTCTCTGGTACCTGGTGAAATGAGAAAAAATCAGGTTGCTGGTGTAAGAAAGAAAGCGCGAGTATTTGATCCTGTTCTCTGAAGAGAGCATCTCATTTGCCAGAGCTATGAAAGCAGTGCAGTATTTCCACATTTAGAACTTCCTAGATTCTTTTCATAATGCTTCAATTAATAAGATCACTGCAGTGAAAGGATTATTCATGACTGTTTTCTCAAGTGTGGCCCAGGTCTGTGGCTGGAGTGTGAGCAAGGAGCAGTTCCCTGACAAGCAAACAAGCTGACGGTGTTTAGAAACTCCCTTAGAGACACGGTCCTTTGTTTCATTTCTCATGCCACATAACAAAGAGGAAGAATTTAGGTGGAGCTGATTGTAAGGGAGGGAAAACATGCCATGGTCTTCCTTTAGTTGGCATCCTGAGGACATGCAGGACAGGGTTGTAAAGACGATGAAGAGCATGTTCCTTCTCTTCATTTTGCTGGGAGTAGTATCTGGTAAGAACATGATTTCATTACACTGCTAAAATTAGAACACTGTTGGCTGTTGTACTTTCTCTTGGGAACTTTATAATACATATTTAGGGATCAGACACGGATGGAAAAAATCAAGTAACAATTATTTTCCTGCTGAAATAGATTACAGCAGTGGTTACAGCAGTATAATGAAGAGAATATGACCCCTCACAAGACTTTTTTTCTGGAAGAGGCACTTCAGTGTGCAATAGCTGCTGCTCAGTGTGACAGTGTTGGGGCGGGAAAGGTGGTCAGTTCTGCCAGAAATGCTATCTACTCTTAATTTTGTAGCATTGTCCTTTCAAATATTGTTAGCATTTCTATTTGATGAAGTAAAACTGAACAGAAAAACACTTGTGGAGAATATTAGGAGGGTATCAGTATTTTTGCTCAGTGTAAAAATACAAAAAGTTTGCCAATACGTACATGTTAGCAACTTAAAATGGATCTATAAACTGCATTCTGTGTGACTGATGGAGTTGCTTGTAGCAAGCTGTCTTCTCAGATAGCATCACCTTGCTTTCAGGAAACTGAAAGAATTCTTCCAGTCCTCAGAAACCTGACAGTATTTGGTGTTTTCTTTGATGCCCCTCTGCATTTTGTCAGAGCACTGCATGTGAATCTCAACTGGTATTGAAGAACAGTGTTTGTCTAACCTATGTGGTTATAGGAAGAGAATAGCTTGAAAATATGACTCAAGCCCCTCTGTAAAGGTTTATGAATCACAGGTAATTAGGGCTTGAATATACATATACTTCCAAAAGCCGTTCTCATAACTGCTTTATATTGGGCTCAGAATTTGTTAATGATTGGGACTGGTAATTCTGATAAATAATGTATTAAATTTATTCAAGCATGGTTCATGCTCTGAAGTGAGGAGGTAACCAAGGACTTGTGGAAACAGAGGGAGGGCTTTTGTAAAATCAGCTAAATGAAGAAGCCATTTAGACACAGTATAGAAAATTTCATTTAAAAAAAAAGAGCAAAAAGTAAGCATTTATGGTTTAGGAAGACAAAAAGACGAATCCTGAGTAAACAACCAAGGAACGATTCAGAGATAATATGAAAATATAAACTTTTTTTCCCCTACATTTCTAAATGTTATAAATGATTTAGTAGACTTTGTAAATGGTTTCTGTCAAAGAACTGTGACTTGTTTTAAGTACTGGATACTGAATACTGCCCACAGGTTACATTCAGAGCTCAACTCCACTTGTGAAAGTGTATTCCCAGAAAGCACTCTCAGCACAATCTCATTTACAAAGGCAGTGTTTATTGACAATGGTTTCTGGAATCTTCAAGAACACTGATACAAGCTTAGTCCTTCACTGGGTTTAGGGAAGAGGCACCATACTCCGTGCTTTGCCTCCTGGACTCACCTATCACTATTGCGTTTGCTTCTTGTGAAGCAAAGACACTAGGACACAGGGTCTTTGGTCCTATGGGAAATGATTATTTGAGAGTTCAGTAATAGAAGCAGCGTCTGTCACACAAACACAAATCTTTTGTAATCTGCTCCAGAAGGTCACTAGTGAGTCAGAGAAACGAGATTTTTGATAGTTTAGGGCAAAAATCACCAAGGCTTCTAATGTCATTTGAAACTCTTGGAGCTGATTTCTTCGCTCCAGATTAAAGGCCCTGCCACCATTGAGGAATGGCAATTGTATGGCCTCTCTGGGGCCTGATGTGTGCCACCTTTCCCCAGCCACAAGGGGAGGGGCAGAAGGATGTGGCTCCTTCCCACCATTCAGAGGTGTTGCAGCACGGCACATTTCCCTTTGGCATTCCTAAGGCTCAGGCCGAGCACCCAGGTGCAAACATGCTGCACACCTGATGGCCTCAGAACAGTCTCCCTAGAAGCTTTTTACCTTGCAGCTGCCCAGCAAAAATAAAGACTTCATGATACTTTTGTTGCAGTAGTTACTGGGATATGGGCAGCCTGGACTTTTGGTGAGCAGGGTCCACTGCTGTCCTGGGACGCAGCGCATGGAAAGTTTTACTGACAGCAGCCAGCTTTCTTGGCAAGTGTTTTGGATAAGCCATCAGCATTAGTCCTTCTCAGCCTCATTGAGGTACGCTGCCAGTTTGGGGATATGAAGCAATACTGCTTAAGCATCAGCTATCTGAGGTGACAATAGCATAGTACTGAATCAAAGAAAAGATCGATTCTTCTGCCATTAGTACTGGGTTTACTGCAGTGCAACACCACATTTCATCAGCAAAAGGAGAATCAGGGCATTTTGTGCTCATTAATGGCACCTCTTGACAGCAGCTGTGTGCTCTTGCCAGTCTGAGACTCCTAGAAGTAATTTTTCAATCATTTTCATCTTACAGGAAGAAGAACCCCACTGCTTAGGGGCTTACCTGCAACAAGTATTGTTGAAGAAAATGCACCAGCTGGTGTTTCCATTTATACCTTCAATGTAACTGGTTCTCCATTGTCTTCTGGTGTTGTTGCAATACATCCTACCATAGTAAATTCGAATCCACTTACGGAAGCATTTGCTATTGTATCTGCAGGAGATCTTATGTACAGGGTGAGTTTTCTGTTCAGTTTGAGCAATGCTGTGTCCTGTCGGCTCATGGCTCCTGGATTGCTGAGAATTGGCAGTGCACAGTGACTCATCTGTTAACCAGAAAGGTGTTGTAAATGCAGACTGTAGTGCTATTTGGACATACTGCAATAGATATGACAAACGAGTAACAATAATGATTACAATTTTAATTGCATCTAGGAAGAAACCACTCATCACAATAATCACAAGGGCATATAGGACTGAGTTCTGTTTTGTGGGTTTATCTGTAGTTATCTGTAAGTTTTTCAACCTACTTAATATGAAGTTGCTGTGGATTTAAAGTGGATTATTTAAATCACATGGAGCTCCTGTTTGGACACTCCCACCGAGAACCGAAACGAGTTTGACTCACTTCCAAAACAGTGCAAGCTGAGTCACATCAAAGCTGTGTTTAACACTGAATGAGAGCTGTGACCCATGAGGAAGTCACTTGGAGGTACGAAGTTATCACACTTCCACACATCCCTGATCTATTTCTATCTATTGTGTGCTCTTGTTCTGTGTCAAATGCAAGGCAGTTTCTATTGGTTCCAGATAGCTTTCATTGCTGGATAAATTAGCACTGCCTCACATTTGCCACTGGCAATGAGGGTTCAGAGGCATGATGCTTGTCACCCCATTGCAGCCCACTTGTGTATCTGAACCTCAGTAGTGATTCTCTTGAGCACCTTTGAAAGATACAGATACATCCTGAGTAGAGTCTTAAAAAATAATTTAATACACTTTTCTGGATGTTCCCAAGGAGGTTTCTTGAAAGTTTCTCACTTCCTAGGCTGTATTGTGTCATTTTGATTTAAAGGTGTCCCTTCTGCTGCAAAATGTAGTCCTTTTCTATGCCCGCTCATTCCTGTCCTGTGCCATCTACAAGCTGTGCAGCACTGTGCTTCTTGATGAGTGGGACTGGAAAACTAATCTGAAAGAAAAATGACCTTGCAAATAGCTAAAAGTCTCTGTCACTCCAAAGTGCCAACTTATCATCGTTTCTTACCACAGTCCCATTACTTAAATTGCCCCTGAGGACTTTGTATAACTTGACTGAACAGTAATTGGTATTGAGGTTTCCTAACCCACTTGAGGAACTGGAATGAGGTGTTTGAGCCAGTGAATATCAGTCATGAGAAACTCATAAGGAAAGCTACATACAAATTGTGCAAGTTAGCAGTTGACTGAATATGTGCAACCCACAAGGCAAGGATAAATGGTCATGAGTGTCCTTAGTTAATTTATTTGATGAATTTTGATACTTTTATTTATTTACACTATTTTTAGTGGATTTGTACAACATTTTTCAGGAGTAATGTGGTCCAAAATGAGATAGCTCTTCTTACTGCCACTAAATCTTTGCTAAGATACAAGCAATATCTTGTATGTAAGGTATGGGGCCTACTGCTTAGGTAAGTACCTGTTAGCACAGGTTCTTCTGTATTTGTGAACCAAGCTCTTTTGCAGCAAGCCTGGGCAATATCACACTTCTTGATATGTTTTGGGGTTTCTGAAAATGTCCTCGTTACTGAGATATAAACACTGTGCTGAGGCAATGAAAATAGACTGCTGCTCAAAGCTATCTTGATGTGATGCTCCCTCTGCTCCCCAGGGCTGAAGGGGAAAGAGCAGTGAGATTCTCATATGGAGCGAGGGGTGGGCAGTTATGGAGTGACTCAAGATGCTGCTCACCATATCTGCAGCTGCTTCAGGTGTACAGATGCTGCCTGGAACCAAAGTAAGCCACTCACAGCCTATGCCAGTCCAAAGCCATTTTTCACAAATGCAACTTCAAAAGAGAACATCTAGATTCAGAAAGTTAGCAGTTACATTTTCCTTTCTTGTACCAAGAAAGGAAAGTTCTTGCTTCTTTATTAGCTTTCACAGTGAGGATTGCAGCATACAGCTTTCAGCATCCTGCTCTTGTTCTGGTCCAGGCTTACATCCAGGCCTGGGGCCCCCAGCACAAGAAAGGGACTGGTAGACATTAGGCTCCCTTCCAAGCCAAGCCATTTGATTATCACCTTCTATTTTAAGGGATGATATGCAGGGCTGGAAGTCTTTCAAAAAAATCTCAACAAATCAAACATTTGCATTATCAGGCTTACAAAACATAAGGACTGTGTTAATTTTTAATTAGATCAATTTCCCCAAGCAGTTCTGGTCTCACTTTCATGCAGCGTGCTCTTGCAGCTCATTCCTTCCTGTGGTTTCCTGCAAGTGTTCTCCCAGACCCACTTACAAAGAGAAGGGCCTTGTTCCTGCTGGGCTCTACAGACTCCTGTTGCATGATCCTTCCTGCAAAGGAGATGTGCTTGTGGTCATGAAGGCAACACACTGCCTTCAGGGCAGGACAGTTTCTGCCGGGCTTTCTGCTTCCCAGACTGTCCCTCACACAATAGGTCCTTGCATTGCTCCACAAAGCCACAACTTTTTGGTCTGACTGTCCTTTTTTCCCTCATGTTTCTTGCACAGGCAAGAGCTGTGTCAGTAAGTGGAAGATGATCTAAAATGCTCACTGCTTGTTGATGTTTCTTGGATTCACTCCTATAGACTGTAACTTACATCTCTTGCATGATGTGCTAATAATATTGATTTTTATTTTCAGGTTGTTACCACAGGAAACCCTACCCTAGATTATGAAACTATGCCAAAGCACTTTGATTTACAGATTTTTGTTGAAGATACTGCTGGGAGGACTGACCTCAACAGACTAACTGTCCAAGTAGCAGATAAGAATGAACGTCCTGTGTTTTGGGGAAATATGGCAATTCAAAGTAAGATAATGGTGGCATCTGAAAAGAGCAGCACTCAAAAAGATGGCATCAAATACAGAATTCAACAGCACACAATCCCTGTAGTTAAAGTGGTCCAAACATTTTCCTATACGAAAAAATGGGTGGAACAGCATGCTGTTTCTATCAAAGCTTTATTTTACACAAAAATTTGGCATGCTTCATCTCCAGAAAAGCCCTTTTAGTTTTCTTGAAGATTTGCGTAAAGTTGATCAAGATATGTAAATGCATTTGAAGAATGAAAAAAAAAAAGGAAAAAGATGAAAGCAATGTTATTTTTATATGTTCCTTTATTTATATTTGTATGTTTTATCTTTTTGTTTGTTTGTTTTTTGGTGTTTTTTTTTTAATGAGATGAAGTGCCCTAGAGATATGAATTGTGAACCTGAAGTTTGATAGGGATGCAGCCTACACAGTATGGATTTGTGCTGCAGTAGTTTGTTGAAACTGGACAGATTTGGAGAGGAAAGATAAATTTAAAGAAGCGTATACTGTAGCTGTGCAAAAATTTGCACACACAGGAAACCAGGTTTGCTTTCAGGTCACAAAGATGCAAAAATGAAAAGTCTGCAGCAGCATCAACAACAAGGCTGTGTGTCTGGATCCACAGTAGCACTTAGGCAAAGACATTCAGTCACAGAATCGTTGAATCATTTGAGTTGGAAGAGTCTTGTAAAGACCATTTAGTCCAACTCCCCTGCAGTGCACAGGGACACCTACAGCTAGATCAGGTGCTCAGAGCCCTGTCCAGTCTGAGCCTGAATGGGCCATCCACTACCTCTCTAGGCAACCTGTTCCAGTGCCTCACTGCCCTTATTGTAAAAAACTTCTTCCTTCTTTGTTTTCTTTTTCCTTAGTATGAGAATATCACACTCATCTGCTCATGGTAGGTGTTTGGGAGTGGCTGACAAACCCCCAGACCCAGAATGGCAGTGCTACAAGGGCTGCAGCTGGCTGTGTGGGTGCTGCTGGGCTGTCCTCAGGATTGAGCTCAGCACAGCACGGCCACAGCACAGCCGCTTCTCCAATGCCAACAAGCATGCGGATGCTCCGTTCCATACAACATTTAGTTTGTAAGGCAAATTAGCTTCCCCGAGGGAAGAGGCTGTGTCATCTTCTCAGTGTTGAGGGTGTCTTGTGTATCATGGGTGCTGATGGAATCTAATAATAATTAAATGTGACACTTCAGGGGATTGGCACAGCATGAAACATACTACGTGAGAGCTTGTTACAAATAAGTGCATCAGCTTAACTCTCAGCTAGAGCTGCCATAAATTGGTGAGCACAGATGTCTGATCTGTCTCACTGCATGGCTGTAGTTAACAGTACCAGCCACAATTAGACACTAATTGCGCATTCGTTGGTTATTAAAAAGCATCTCCCTCTCATTAAACCTTATATTTGTATTATTGTCCTCTGGGAACAACTCATTATGCTGCACTGGGGTTCCCACCGCCGTGATGAGAAGCAGCAGTCAGCAGGGGTCACAGCAGCAATTAATAGTCCAGAAATGCCAGGTTCAGCAGACACAAAGGGCAGAAAGCAAATAATGGGATCTAAGGAGCTGTTGTTCCGCTCATCACTGTGCCTGAGCCAGCTGCCAGTGGCTGAGTGTGGGGCAGCAAAGTTGTGGAGGAATACCCCTTTGCTCTGAGTAAGGCAGGAGATTAAGCACAGGCCATCTACCACGTATTCACCCCACAGATGTAAAGGAAAAGCATAAATGAAGAGGAAAGGCTTTGAACTCTCTTGGCAGGGGGCAGGGGAGGGTGCGAAGGGGATGGGGATGGAGAACAGATCACGTTCTCCCCATCTGCATGGTTGAGGCAGACGTATATACAAAATGCAGTTGTGTTCCATACTCATTGAGCAAGTCAGGGAAGTCCTTATTTACAGATCAGTCTTTCTCAGCTATCAGTGAGGGATGTCTACACATTTTTCCTTTTAGTCTTTTGAGCGTTTGTGTTCATTCCTGTGAGAATTTTGAAAGGGCGCTGGTGAAGTGAGAGCACACACCAGACAGTAATGCACCCAGACAGCTTCAGAATGTCAGTCTTCTTGCTGGTGTGCCCTTCATTCTTGTGCAATTAACACTGCGTGCACTTCTATCCATGCAGCTGTGAGGATCTATGTCTTAGAAGGAATGCCTCCTGGACTCATCTACAAAGTCAATGCAACAGATCCTGAAAACGGTGAACTCAAAGTAAGCTGGGGAAAAAAAAAAAACAAAACAGAAATTATATCAACCGCTGTATCTGAAGTGCTAATTGCCCCTTCCAACAACACACTTCATCATCAGGAACACTGGAAAAGGTTGAAGCATTGTCAATAATAAATTGAGGAAATCCACCCTCAATGTATGAACACAAATTGTATTTTGAATTCTCAGCATTCCAAAATTAAGGGGCACTGAAGGCAGAATTTGATGCAGTTAATCAGAGATACAATAGGAATCATATATTAAAAAAAAATAAAAAATGTCTACAGAACATTTTTAGTAGATTAGAGTGACTGAAAGTATGTAAAGTTTTTAATCTTCTGTGTCACAATGTAAATTCTTACATACTAGACAGTAAGGGAACTGGTCACATGGCAATGGAGTCTCATTTTTGTGACAATCCCGGGGCACACTGTGACCCTCAGTTAAGCAAATGGATTAACATATTGGAAAATACTCTGGAATTTAACCAAAATCCCTGAGAAATGATAATTTTGTTTGCAGAAAGGAGAAAAGTAGCAGCAGTTAGCTAAGAATTGTTCTGCAGCTCTGCCTTGTTGGCTGTTGTTATACAAAAGAGCACATTCAGGAGCTGGACCCAAAGAGGGAAATGCATCTGTGCGTCCCCGTGCTTCATCACGGTTCTGTGTCAGACCCACGGTTCTGGGTCAGACACCGCGCTGTGCCTTGGCCCTTATACAAAGCAGTGCACGACCAGAGGGATGCTCAAGCAAAATGATGCAGAAACTAACTCATTCTCTTCTTCATTTCAGTATTCACCACTCCCTGAATCAGTGCCATTCCGGGTCTTGGAAAATGGAGACATTTTTTCAAGAAAAAAAATAGATTATGAGAAGGATCCACACTGGTGAGAATTTCTCTTATCCATGTGCTTGCAGTGGGCAATGCTTTTCTATGTAGCCAAAGAATGATTCTTGTTTTGTTTTCTTATTTAACAGCTATTTTTTAAATATAACAGTGACAGATCCAGAAGGACTAAACTCTACTAAAACAGTGAATATAAATATAATTAACATCAATGATGAAAGCCCTTACTTTACCACGTGAGTGAAAAACTTCCATTGTAATGAGAATGTAGATGTTTTCCCAGCTTTACTGCCTCGGCACCAATGGGAGAGTGTCACAGAGGGCAAACTAATACATCAACACAGTACTACCAAGAACAGTGTTTTCATTTTGTTATGACTCCTATTATTTTACTGAAAAGATTTGCTTTCATTTCCCTTTTTTATGGTTTGTATTTTTATTAGTTTTAAGTTTTCCAGGTTCTGCTCTCGCGCTATAAGGGCAGCCAAACAGGCCTGTTGTACTTGTTAGCAAGTAGAGGTCAAAACTATGCAAAGACCTTTGGACAAGTTTAGACAAAGGCCTGAGTTTTAGCCCATGTGAATACAGTCATACAGAATTTACTCTTCATGCAGATGTGTGTTTCACTGTAATGATGTTTATTCATGCAGAAATGTCTAGACATAAAAAGGTCTCACTTTTGATCTGTCTTTTCCTCTTCTCAACCACACACACTTGTAACGACCTTACTCCTCTTTGAAACATTGCCATTCCTGACTCTGTCGTAAGCAGGAAATTGTCGTCATAACACAGAAGTCAGAAATAGCTTTTGAAAATTAATGGAAATAAAGAACATTGTTGAAAATTTGTGAAATAGGAAAGAATACCTATGTGCTACCAGAGGGCTATTTTGTGATGGGAAGCATGGTGAACAAATGGTTTCTGAATCAGGAAGCAGACAAGCACAGTTCTTATAGAATTGGTCCAATTCTGCAGTTGATTTATCTCTGGCATTTTGTGTGAGACATTAATTGGATTCTAGATGTTCTCTTTATGTCTTTTGATCCTGAGGCTGTAGAAAGTCCCTGGTGGGAGTATTTATGGTGAGACCTCTCCTGCCACCTATGCAAAGAGCTGGCAGCCCAAGGCTTGGACAGCTACACTCCTTGCTGGTAAAGAGCTGGCTGCAGGCTGGGCCCAGGGAGTAAAATGAACAGAGTTAAATCCAGTTGATGACTGGTCACGAGTAGTGTTCCCCAGAAGTTGGTACTGGGGCCTGTCCTGTTCAGTATTTTATTGATTATTTGGATGAGGGAATTGAGAGCACCATCAGTGAGTTTGCAGATGACACTAAGCTGAGAGGAAACGTCAATCTACACGTAGTGGGTAGGCCCTACAGAAGGATCTGGGCAGGCTGAATCACTGGGCTGAGGTCGATTGTATGAGCTACCACAAGACCAAGTTCTGCATTTTGATCACAACAACTGCATGCATTGCTACAGACCTGGCTGGAGCAGAGTGGCTGAAAATCTGCATGGAGGAGAAGGATCTGGGTGTATTGACTGATAATTGATTGAACATGAGCCAGAGTGTGTTCAGGTGGCCAAGAAGGCTAGTGCCAACCTGGCTTGTTTCAGAAATCGTGTAGTCAGCTGGACAGGGAGGTGGCTGTATTCAGCACTGTGAGTTTGCACCTCAAGTGTTGTGTTCAGTTTTGGGCCCCTCACTACAAGAAAGACATTGAGGCTCTGAAGCATGTCCAGGGAAGGGCAACAGAGATGTGAAGTGTCTGGAACACAAGTCTGATGGGGAGTGGCTGAGGGATCTGGGATGGTTTGGTCTGGAGAAGAGGAGGCTCAGGGGAGGCCTTATCGTTCTCTATAACTGCCTGAAAGGAGGCTGTGACAAGGTGGAGGTCAGCCTCTTCTTTCAAGTAACAGTGATAGGACGAGAGGGAATGGCCTCAAGTTGAGGTAAGGAATGATCAAGTTGGCCATTAGAAAACATTTCTTCTCAGAAAGTGGTGAGGAATTGGAACAGGCTGCCCATGGAGACAATGGAATCGCCATCCCTGAAGGTGTTCAAGAAATGTGTAGCTGTGGTACTCGAGGACATGGTTTGGTGAGTAATATTGGTGGTAGTTGGACAGTTGAACTGGATGATCCCAGAGGTCTTTTGCAGTCTTTATGATTCTAAGTCCATCTAGCACCTGGACCATGCCAAGAGGTCACTGGGCATTGATCTGGAGCAGTCCTCTGGGTGCTATGTAGGCTGAGGTCAAGGATCCGGACCTTGCTGGCAGAGCTATAGAGAACCTGGAGAAATGGAAGAATGAAATATTAGAAAAAGATATGAATATTTTTGCTGTTACTTGAACTTCATGTATGAAGTAACCAAAAAGGTTAACAGCTCTATCCACAGTGCTGTACAAGCAGCAGGAATCCAATTCCCAGTGCCAACATTTGCACATTGTGTTCTAGATTGATTATTTCATCCAAATGTTGCCACTTCTGTTTATTTATCCTTACGTTTGGAATGCCAAAGGAGCTCTTTTAAATATTTATCTATTTGTTCAAGACAGTGAATGGAGTATCCATAACTCCTAATGTCTAAAACTCAGTTGTTGTGTGACACAAATAAGGCATGGTATTTGTTTGAATCTTTTCCCTCTTAGAGCGGCCAAAAATAGAAGCTCAGTTTGTAAAGAGCTTGAAATTAAATTACTGTTTGTGAGCTGTCCTCACTACGCACAAGCATGCCCTCATCCTGCTAAAATGCAAGCTGCATGCTGGGACTGTATTTTCTGACACTATAATAATTAGTGCTGAGATGGAAGTTGGGAAACTTGACAAGTTAGCAAACCTTCTTTATTTTCTCCTGATCAAAGCTGTCAAGAGCGGAGTTTCAAAGGGTCTTTCTAATTGTTCCCGTAGTATATGCAGGCACATCTGTTTTTGGTGTTCACAACACTGCATCAGCATTCACTCTTTTGAAATTCTGGCTGCTAAAATCAGTGGAAAAGTTGTGGAGTCAAGAAAACAAAGAGGACAAGAAAACAAATACGTGCTTCCTTCACAATTATATTACGGTATCTAAAAGATCTGCTTGAACTGTGCTGTAAAATACCACTGGCAAGAGGTGGGTCTTCTGACAGCAGGACACAGCCCAGACATGGCTGTGTAGGAGATGCTCCAGATCTTGCCCAGCTGTATGAGCCCTTGGTGTAATGGGCATGTTCTTGAGAATGGCCCACTTCTTTCTGAGACCTGTGTGGTGGGGACAAGGCAATGGCACATGCAAGGCTAGCAGGGTTGTGAAGATGGAGCTGCGGAGAGAGGTCAGAGTTGTGATTCCTCTCTGGGGCTTAGGGCTCATGTCTTCCTGAACTAGGAACTATGCACTAGTCAGTTTGTGGTGGCACAGAAAGTTTAAAATGTACAAAAAAGGTTCTGTCTTGAAACATGCTCCTAAATGCTTCTTTGAACTGTTGAGTTTCTTCAACTCCCTTTGACTTTTGTAAGTAGGTGTTTTGTGTGTTCGTGCATTTCAGGAGAATAAATCACCTTTCACATAGTCTTTGCACAGTTTTTGTATGCTTGTTCATACCTGTTTTAGCACATGGGTTAAGTACCATAACTGCATACCTTAGTGCCTATGTGAACACGCAGTTGCAACCATTATAAACAATCCTACACAATTGCCTGCCAGACCATATCTGAGCCATAAAACTCACTACATGGGAGATCTGGGAGCACTGGCATGCCAAACAGCATCTGTATTTAAAATGAATCAGACAGATGTTGGGAAATTGGAGCAACATCATGGGGACATCAGCAGGGCACCCACAGGAATGTTCTTTCTTGCCTCTACCTGAGGAGCAGCCCATGCTTTTTAGTAATGCTGTTGCACCCCATATGCCTCCAGCATTCACTCCAAAATATAACTGTGTTACTGCTTCTATTTTTGTTTTTCTCCTGGAAAATAACAGAATATACAGGAAATGACAGGTTGGTGGTTCTGCAGGGAGACAGACTGCTTGACTGAACAGCCCTGTCCATCTTCAGTTTCCACAATTCCGTGAAAGTCAAATTGCATTCACTATGAAAAAGTTGCAGGGAAAGGGAAGGACACTTATTTTTGCAGCTCTGTCATGCTTAATGCGCACATTGCAGCTCAGCTGCTGCTGCAGTCCAGCTGGCAGAACCAGTGACTGGGATATTGACTGTGACAACTCCAAGCCCAGCATGGCCTCTACAATTGGTTGCTCAGCTAAGTCTGTGCTCAGCTGCTCTTGCAAACACAGACAGATCTTTTGCTGAATGAACGTTGCTTTCTCTTGTAGAAAACAAAGAATCTACAGGATTCCTGAGGAACAAAGCCCAGGAACTGTTGTTGCCAATATAACAGCTAAAGATCCTGATGATGAAGACTCTCCTAGCAGACTTTTCTACAGCATCCAGTCTTCTGACACATATTTCTCCATAAATCCATGTAAGACAAACAAAAACATGCCTTCTGACTCTCTCAAAAAAGAGAGTGGCCACACAGAAGATGTTTTTGCCTGAGTGTTGACTTTCTTTAGCGTCTCTCCCTATAAAAAAGAAATGCTTAGCACATTTTTAGGGCCAAGTTCTTCCATCAGCTGAATAAAATTAAATAAAATATATTAAGAAAGTAGATCAAAGGTGACTTATTGACAGATGTTTTCTTATGACTGGAGATTGATGACTCCTTGAGTGGAAGTTGAATCAGCTGCCTTTTTCTCTAACCATTGTAGTGACTTTTCTGGGACTCTTGCAATGGCTGCAAGTACTTATACCACAGCTTGCTCTCTCCTACATGCAATCTGCTCTAGCACTGTGATACACAAAAACTGCTGCTCAGCTTCGTGGCTTTATTCATGCCCCTATTCAGGTGAGGCCATTCTAAAGAGTCATCTCCTATGTGCTGGTCCCATGTTCCCCATGCTCTCTGGGGTGCACCCATCTCTGTCCTGAGGATTTTGCTCCTAGAGCTGTAATTCAGTGACTGCTCTGTGCTCATCTACTATTGTTTTAAAGATGTTTATGACAACGGTAGAATGCTGTGGGATATCAAGATTATCCTTACATGCTTTGGATCCCCTGTGCCCTTTGGCTGTGTATTGCTACTATCCCTCTTGATTACACCCCAAAAGGTAGAGGATATACAAACTGTTCCTTTATCTCCTCAGGACTCTGGCAACAGTATTGTGCTCTGCCAGAACAATCTTCTCTTTTTTAGATAGAGGCTAACAGAATTGAAAAAGTAATTAATTGAATGGCTGATCAGAGCACTTGACACAAGCTGAGAGCAGATCTTTTGATATATGAGTAGATTTAGAGGTACTGAAGGGTGCTTGAAATACAACAGCAGAAAGTGAAGCCATCTTAGTAGCTAGAGAACAAGGACAGCATGGCCTGCTCATTGTGCTTGCTGCTTGGTGAGTGCACTCATCTCTGACTTGCACCACTTCCTTGAGTGTGTAATGAAACCTAAGTGCTTTCCAAGCCCTCTGCTGAGGTTGCCACTGGTGTATTTTTGAGCAGTGGGTATTTATCTATGAAAGGCTTACGCAGAGCTATCAAAGCCATTTTGTATCATTTTAAAAAGTAGTTAAAACAGTCGTAATTTCTGGAGAACAAAAGACTTCAGTTTGCTACCTGTCTGCTGAGCTATCCTGTCCTCCCACAAGTACACCATGAGTGTTTACTGCCTCCCCTAAGGGTGAGCATCTAACTGCTGGCTGCTTTTCCCCAGCAACTGGAGTGCTGCAGGTGTCCGGGAGAATCGACCGCGATGTCCCTCCCCTGCAGCTCCATCCCAATGTCTCCATAGTAGTCCGGGTGGAGGACAGCCCTCGTGGGGGGCACTCCAGTGAAATGGAGATCACAGTCATCATTGGAGATATCAATGACAACCCACCAGAATGCAATCCCTCCACCTTCAGGTATTGATGCTCTGATTGCCTTAGTACTGCCTTGTTGCCACAGTCCAGTGCCCAGTGTAGGGCACATCAGTTAGGGTCCTCAGATCTCAAAGCCTCTTGTCATACATGTCTGTGCACTGTAACCTAGTCATGGACTTTGCTATGGCCCTGAACTCTCTGAGAACTCTGTGAGCTTTTCAAGAACCATGGAGATGTGGCACTGAGGGGTGTGGTTAGTGGACGTGATGGGGATGGGTTGGTGGCTGGACTAGATGATCTTCAAGGTGTTTTCCAACATTAAAGAATCTATGATTCTATGATGATCAGCTGGCTTATGTTTGTAGATGAGGGTATGACATTATCTCCATTTTTCAGAAAGACTGAGGTCACAGTTGTCCATCTGAAGTGCTGGATGTGCCCATGCTGTAAGTGCAGGTAGCAAAGTTCTCAAAGAACTGCCACTAGCGGTAGATGGACTGTTCTGCAAATAAAGATCCAGCATCTCATGCCAAGGCCTCTGCAATGAGACATTCCTAGTTAGTGGGTATCTGTTTAAATTGTTTGCTCACTAGCTAAGATAAATGTCTTGCATTTAAATCATGCAGTTTTATGGACTAGCAGGAAGAATATCCAATTCTTCAGAGCACTGCTTGGTCACAATGTCCATGATGACAGCACAACAGTCTTTGTGGTCCACTGAGCTCAAACTTTCATCTGAATGAGGCAAAAGTCTTCAGGGGAGGAAATGAGAGACTGTATATAGGGATTGTAGAAGGGAACATCAAGGCATAATGACATTTCAGTTAGTTCTTTATTTCTTTTATTTCTTATTTTCTTGATTAAGATAAAATCTGCACCTTCCATTACCAATTCCATCACATGCATCACTGAGAGCATCACTGTCAACAGCAGGGCCAGAAACACTGGTTTTACAAGGCAGCAGAATGATCCAGGTATTAGTTAAGGAGAAAAGAATGAACTTCTCATCAGGAAAACATTATAATGTAATGAAAAAATGAGTGTTGTAAAGATGTTTTAAAATACAAATTAGGAACTGAAATAATCTTGAGCATTAAAATCTCATGGTGCCTTCTGTAGTTCAGTGGATTTTCAAGGCCTTGGTTTTGGGTCTGTGTGCTGCTCATTACATAGGGCTGTTATCCACCACAGCATGTGGTTCAGATTCTAGATTGCTTCATCAGCTGTTGTCTATTTACATCTAGGATTTCACTTAGAAAATAAATGGAAGTAAGTTGATGTTTGGGCATGGAGTATATGAAGAATTCAAGAGGAGAAATATAAGGAGCTCTGATGGGAAATATGTTTCTTTTAAACAGGAAAGAAATAAATGAAAATACTACTGCTGGGATAGTTCTTCTTGATCTCAGAAACAGCTGTAAAGATATTGATGTTGATCCACCAAACAATCTATTTAGTTTCACTGGATTATCTGGTTTTGGAAGCAACAACTTTGCTCTGGAGTCTGCTGAGTCCGGAAGACTTGTGGTCAGTCATTTGTGGCTTTATGTCAAGTGGACTCATTGTAGAAAGCATCTTAGGAGTTTTCACAAAGGTCATTTCTTACTTTGGAGTTTTTGCCTGTACAAGAAAAAGGAATTACTGTAATTCATGTTGCAACAGAGTGAGTTGATGAGAATGATTTGATTAGATGTAAGCTACAAACCCTTTAATAGGACAGTTTCTATGGATCCTACAGAGTTTGGAAGACAGAGGGCTGTTTTAAATCTAAGTGCTAGATAGGACTGAAAAAAAGGAGTTTCTTAGGGCATGTGAAGCACTAACTTTGAAATGGTTAAACAAAGCAACCTGATACCATCTCATACCTATTTATTCACGATAGATCATGGAAGATTCTTCTCTTCAGTGTGAAGGACTGCAATATGGTAAATGTGGTAAATATTCACAAAAGTGTGGTGGGATTTGTACTTCGTGTGATTCGACGTGTCAAAATATGACTTCCTTATGCTAATAGCTACTGTAAAATTTGCATTTGCCAGAATCCCCACCAGCTGCTGGACATGTGCAGTGACGGTTGCTTTGTTGCTTTAAAAAGAGCCACAGACAAATATAGAAAAAAGAAACCCCATGAACTGTAGTGAGAGCACAGGCATTCTGCCTAAAAGACAACTGTGCGATAGGTGCAGTAAAATGATTTTGTATGACTAACGTAGTTTTTTATTAGAAGCATGTATGTGAATGACCACCATCCTTAGCTGCTTCATCTACCAGCACAGAAGACATTTTCAGCGCTGCACAGGGTATGGTTGTTGTCAGCCCTTTGATCACTGTGCTTGTGTAATGTAATAGGCTATCTGAAGCGTCCCATCTCTGCAGGAGTTTTCCTATAGACAAAAAGCAGTGGATGCCTGTGCTTTAATCTCACTGCCCCAGAATTTATGAGGCTCTTGCAAAGAGACAGAGTTCAGGAGATTAGGATTTAAAGCTCTATATGAGCCACTGTTTAGTAGCTATTTGGTTCCTGGATGAACAGTTATGGCTGAACCTGATACCTTTAATACAGGTCTGCATGCCTGTGCTCAAGGAGTAACTATGGCTATTTAGCAATCACAGGCTCTTGTTGAGCCAACAAAGGGCACGGTACATAGCCAGCTTGTTACATGCACTTGGAATTAAGCAGGTAAAAGGCAAAGACCCTTTGCACAAATGACACAAGTTCCTGCACTTAAGGGGAAGACAGGCAGAAGGAAAGTGTTTTGAATTGCCAAGAGACCCCAAACCGTGAACATGAAGGAAAAGCCTGAAATTCAATCCTGTAATTGATTTATTACTATATTACTCCTATGGGACGATTCTGGGTATTCAGGAGGGAGACCACATCTACAGCATGCTGAGAAAACTGATGGCCATCATGTGTATTGTGACTTCATGTAAGAGAGCATAAATACAATTGTTTTTCTTTTTAATTTAGATGACTGAAAGTATTGATTTAGAAAATCCATCTAATCCAGGAATTGAAGTTTATTCTTTGACTGTCAGGGTGCAAGATATCGCCTCTCCTAACTACTCAAGCAAGTATCCTTTTTACACATTTTTAAAAATATTTTCCTGTGCTGCAACAGCATGGAGAGAGGAGTACCATATGTATTTTGAATATATGCATGAGAAAATTTCACAGCCGTGCTTAACTATGATTTCATCTTGTGTTATATTTCCAGATACCATTTACATTTATATCAGGATAAAGCCAGTGAATGAATTTTTTCCAGTGTTCAGTAGTCTATCATATGAATTTAATGTTCCAGAAATTACTAAAGGTAAGTAGCACCTACATGATAGGAGCAACATTGTCATGCTGACAAATACACTTTTGCTCCAAACATATTTTCATTTATTTGAATGAGGAGAATTGCTCAAAGCTCCTGTTCAGCTGGGGTCCTGTACAATTGCCTAGTACCCCTAAATAGACAAAACTGGCAAGAACTCCAGTTGTACAGATAGAAATCGAGACAGACAAATTCAGCAATTACACAAAAAATCCGGGACAGAGCCGGGAACTGAACTCAGATTTCTTGTTTTAGACTGTCTTTCTGCTCTTGCTACATTAGCATTTTGAAAGGGCTGCGATAGTGCAAAGAAACCGCTGTAGACCATGGTACAGATGAGAGAGGACTCCCTTGGCCCAGGCATGGTGTTCAACTGTCACCACACCATCCCTTAGACCCAGCTCACTGAGGAGGCAGAGTGGGATAGCAGTGCTTGGAAGGGAAGTGTGTGCTCCAACAGGCAGTGCAGCTCCTCAGGCTGGAGCCAAGCTTTTCCCATTTCTGCCGCAGCCTAGGGACAATTACTGCAAATGTGGCCTTAAACCCCAGTCCAGGAGCAGGATTTGCATTTGTCTGTGCTGAGCTGTTTCAAACTCTCCAGACAGAAGAGCAGCAATTTTTTTCTCAAGGTATTCCTCCAACTCAAGCCAGTGCTTGGACACTGGAAATAGTTAGTGTGTGTTGGTGCCAGCCTCTGGGGCAGCTCTTGCCACCAGAGAATTTCTGCTGTCATTCTCTACAGATTCCTTGCATTGTGGTATTCATTGTTAGCAGACACATACATGGGGAACCATACTCAACATGGTAAACCAGTGTTTCTCATGCCTTCGTTTTACTTCTTTGGGGTGAAAAATTCTAAAGCAGAGATGTAGTTACACTTTCATCAAGCTTTGGCAGGAAAGAGTATTCTGTAATTCCTTCTTCTCTAAGTTTAAAATGTTAATGAAATACGGATTATCTCCTTCTTAGTTGGATCCAGTATTGGAAAAGTGACTGCCAGTGATGCAGACTGGCCACCCAGTGTCATCACTTATTCCATTATAGCTGGAGGAGGGACCAAGGATTACACAAATGCATTCTGGATCAGCCCAATTAATGGAGATGTGAAAATTTTAGAAAGATTAGACTATGAAACAACTCAGAAACACTTTTTCACAGTGCAAGCCTCAGACCAAGAGAAGACTGCAACAGCATCTGTGAGTAAGCCCACTCTACTTCTCCTCCTTTATCTACACTTGTCTCTCTTCTTGACAAGAATACTTTGAGCATCCTCTGTCATGACCTTATATTTTATTCCTTCACATCTGGTGGGAGGTGGATGGGTACTAGGCCTGCTTTCTATTCCAGCCAAGTACTGCCCATGGAGACACTAGGAAGGAGGTACTTAATCTCTTTATCGCCTGTAATATTTCAAGGCAATCATTAAGGAAAACTTAGCATCAGGAACTTGTAATCATGACAGGTTTATCTGTTATATATTAAAATCCAACAAACACAAAAGGACAGAGCTTTGAGAGTGGTAAGCTTTTCTCTCAACCAGATAACAGCAGTTGACATTAAGCAGATCTGGTGTAACAAAGGTTCTTCCAGACATGCAGAAGGCCATTACCACATTTCTGAATGTGAGGTACTGGAAAGGAAGTTTAATGAATACCTGGAAATATTTATCATTTCTACTATAATACACCTCAGGTAATTCAACTAGTCAGACACATCAGATTGAAATCCCTGTGGTTTTGGAGCATGATTCAAGTTAAGGAACCTGTTCCCAAAAGAGTTCTGGTCACAAAAAGAAGTAAAGGTCAAACAAACATTTATGTTTTCTGGTAGAATGTAGTTTGGAAGAGAGGTTCATTGCTCTTCAACTGCTGCTGATTTAAAGAGCAAAACTGGCAAAGCCAAATAGTTTCTGAAGTTAATAAAATTCTGACCCCATACAGTGGAAGACCTTCAGCTTTTATTATTCTTTCCTTTCAGGTAACTGTCAATGTTTTGGAAGTAAATGATGAAGAACCCATTTGTTCACCCAATTTCTATTCATTTCAAATCCCAGTCAGTTTAGCAGTTGGGACCAATGTCAATGGTTTCAGGATTCAATGTCAAGATCGTGATTCTGATCCCAGGTCTTTCCGTTACTTCATTGAAGAAGGTACAGTGTCACAGTGTGTGAAATGAAAACAGTGCAAAAATGCTTAAATACTGATGGTTCAATTTGATTTGTAAATAAAAATCTAGCACAGTTTGTATGCTGCGTCTTACGGAGAGCTAATTGTGATCCTCAAGTTTCATGCATCATTATTTTGGTGCATTTGAAAAGAGATGACTCTGTAAGTTCACTGCTACCATCTAGAATGATGGCCTTGCACATTTGGATTGCCTACTACATTAATTAATCCACAATTAACTGCATTATTGACAAGGACTTCAGTAAAATGAGGGATATATCTGCATGGTTAAATTTCACTTGCAATTACAGTTGAGTAAATCTTGAGCAATGAAGGTGATTTCTCTTACCCTGTGTAGCTTTCACTTAGATAATGGCACGTGGTTCAAAATAACTGAGCAAACCTGCATGCCCTAGTTCCGTGCTGCATGCACTAAAACCCTGTTATTAGAAAGAATGATTGAACCTATTAATCAATTGCATCCATTTGAAGAAGAGTACGGATTGGTTTTCAGTTTCACAGTAAAAGAGCATACACTCTCTTGGGTGAATTTATTTTGCTGTTGCTGATTTTGTAGCTGAGGTTATTGACTCACACTGCTGAAAATTTAATTGTAGTTGCTGGCATGATTTTGGTCTGTGCCAAGAAGTACAGCCTCAAAGGAATCCTGGGCATTGCTGCAGAGCCCGGGACCTAGCTGGGTGCAGTGTGCAGGGGCCCTCTAGAGTGCAGGCTTTGAAGTTTGGTTATAGAGATGTGATCTGTGCTGTGCAGTTGGTCTTTGAGCCAGAGAGCTGTTCATGGCCTCATTATTTGTTGCACAGTAGATGTGTCCTTCAAAGTCACCTCAACTGTGGAGCTCTACAGGGCAAAATAAGCAGAACCAAGGTACTTCTGGTACCTTTCTATGGCTTTGATTTCTTTTGTCTCGGGTCAGTCCAAACACTGCACAGGTCACCAGCAGATCTCCAGTAACCTGAACAGAGAATTAAGAGATGAAAGGCCAGACACACCAATCTCCCTTCTCTGCCTCCTGCAGCAACTCACAGAGGGAATGAAGCCTGGTAGAAATTAACACCTCTGAGTCATAAGCTGTCATCAGGGGGAGCCAGTCAATGGCTGTGTGGTGTGCTGTGGGCAGAGAAACAAGTGGTGGGAAGGGATGGAGGGACTTAGGAGATGCTGGTGGTGCCCGTGTGGCCAAGGGGCCATTGCAGAGCCACCTCAGCAGTGGGACTGCAACATACAAGGCAGACTGGGTGCTGCTGCTTCTGGATGCACTCCAGGCTACAAGAAAAAGTCATTCAGGTGAGGTGAGAGTCTCCTCTTATATCCTTGATGGCACTGAGGAGTTTTTACAGCCTTGTCTCAGCTGTGTCCTCACAGACAGTCTTATTCCATGATTTTATGATTACTTACTTATATGATTTTATATGTTATCAAGAAGATTAAGGAGCCATATGACTACAAGGGCATTAAGTGATCCATAGAAGGTTGTCAATACAAACCAATCTTTTAGTTTGCTCCACGTGTTTATTTTAATGTGTGATTTTTCTTCGCTTTTCTTCCTTTTTTGATGATTTGTTTGTTTGTTTGTTCATTACTGTGACTTGCAGGCAACGTGAACAATCATTTTACCTTTTCACCAGTGGCTGGCTCCAACACATCTCAGCTGATTCTTGCATCTCCCTTTGACTATGAGAGTGGGCTTGATACAAAATGGATTTACAGACTGCGTGTCTATATAACAGATGACAATTTACTATCTGCCAAGAACAAGGCTACACACCTAGTTAAAACTGGAACAGTGACTTTAAGCATCAGAGTTATCCCAAACCCAACAACTGTCACTACCACGACAGTAAGTACACTGAAAATTATGCCTACTCTGCAGTTCTTTCATGGGTTAATCTGCATGAGAATGAAGAAAAGAGGGTAGACGTATGCAAAAGGAAAGCAAAAACCTACAGTGGGTCCAGGTTTAGGAAGCACTGAGCTTTGTGTTCTTACACTGAAGCCAGTGTCCATTGATTTGCCTGGTGTCATGGGGGATTGGCTCCAGTTACACATTTGTAATGTATTTTGTAGTCTCCAAATAGAAGAGAATTAAAAAAGAAGAGCAGCCACTCTGCCATTATCACGTAACTGCAAAGTTAAAGATTTTGACAGCCTCCCCAGAGATACCAGCCTTCCACTTACAGCACCTTCTCTTCTTCTGTTTTCCAGAAGATCACTTCCATTACAGCACCTTCTCCCATCACCACTTGTTACCTGTGTTCAGGCAACAGCCTGATGAATCTGGTGATGGAAGGCTGGTAGCACAGTGATGGGAAACCCTATCACAAAGTCACTTGTGACTTCTATCCCAGTGAGGCTGCAGTAGTGGTGGTTTGAGATTATTTGATAGTTTCTTTAAAAATTTGGTCTACTCAGCCCTGTTGGCTGACGACACTGACACCTCTTCATTTTAAACGCTTCCTTTTAATAGTTACAGATATTACCCAGTTCAGCCATGTGCCATTTTTTGAAAGGTGTCCTTAGCAAATAGATATCCTACTAAATTTCATACACAATGTGATTACAAATGTCTTACAGAAAATTTAATAAAAACTTCAGTAGATGATCAGAATGAATAGAACCACACCATGTATTAACCCCGTAGAAGAAACAAGCAATTTCTGATCTGTATAGGGATAGTGTCATGGCGGGACCCCAGTGAATGAGCTGTTAGCACCAAGAGAGATGCCAGCTCAGAGCTGTGTCTCTTGGTGCATGGAGGATGTGGGAGATCGCAGCTGCTCAGGAAATGTGATTTTCCCTTCTGGAGCAAGGAAAAGAAGTTTCACTTATTTTCATACAATAACGCAATTCCTCAGGGTTCAGCTCCTTTTACAAAGAGGGCTGAATGATCACTGCAATGAAGATGACCTAATTCCAGTTTTGCCTTAGGTAATGAGAAACCATTATCTTGATAATGGCAGTATTCCCTGAACTTCCAAACCCTCCGACAGCATGCTCACAGCTTCTCAGGCAATCTGAGGCTTTCCAGCCCCACCATGGCGTGCCTATTTTAATATAAGACATTGAAACATGATCTGGAAGCAGCGAGATGGGTGGACTCTGTTTCACTGTTTGTGGTTACCCCTTGAGAGAGGTATGTGGGATGAATTGCCACCTCCAGCAGATGCTATCTGCCTCTGCCGATCATGAGCAGAGCCCTGGGGCACCTTGGGCCAGGTGTCTGGGTGCAGAAGTTCAGCCAGAGGAACGGTGTCGTACAGGAATGCAGCACTGAGAAACGTTTCCTATCTTGTTTTAATAGCCGGGCTTCACAGTGGTGACGAAGAGGGAGAACCTCTACTTGGACTCAGCGTGGTACGTGCCATTTGTCACCACGCTGGGCAGCCTGCTGCTCCTGGGACTGCTGGGGCACCTGGGGGCTCTCCTTGCCAGGTGGCTCTGTGCCCGCTGCCCATCTGCACCCCAAGCCGACGGCACACCTCTGTGAGTGAGCATCCTGGTTGAGTGTTTTGTAGCTATATGCCCTCTCTGCTGCGGTAAGTGCAATTGCTGGCTGCAGCAATATAAGACAATAGGATGACAGGATGAGAGGGAATGGCCTCAAGATGCACAGGGAGGCTCAGGATGGATATAAAGAAACATTTCTTCACAGAAAAAGTGGTGAGGCACTGGCACAGGCTGCACAGAGAGGTGGGGGAGTCACCATCCCTGGAGATGTTCAATAACTGTGTGGATGTGGTACTGAGGGATGTGGTGAGTGAGCAATATTGGTGGTAGGTGGACAGTTGGACTAGGTGATCTTAGAGGTTTTTTCCAAATGTAATGATTCTATGGCTTTATGATTCTAATGTTTGGTTTTAAGAAATCAACCAAAAATGTCCATGGATCGTTTTTCACGGATTTGCTAACAGTTCAGCAAATGCATGAGCGGAAGGTCATAGTGGATTTAGCATTATGACCTCTAATGACAGCTAAGCTCATAAGGCACAACTGGAGTCTGTACCTGTCTGTGCTGAGCAAAAATACAGCCGTACTCTATGCCCATCACAAGGGTGGGTACCAGTGTGCTCCTCCAGCTCAACACGTTACTCGGAAGCTGTTTCAAATGTTGGCACTAATGCCAAATTCTCTGTTCTGGCAAAGCTTTTGCAGATTTCCTGCAGTGCTCCCCCAGCCTGTTGCAAGGCTCTGACCCATGGAGCTTCACGGTAGCTCTGGGTGCTCTCTCTTGGCAAAAGCCACTGGGAACAGTTCTGGTTCTGAGTGGCAAGAGATGGCTGCTGGGAGCCAAGGTGCCTCCAAGTGGCATTGTCACAAACACAGAGATAAGAGCTCTTTCATGGGGTGTGAAAAGGATTTATGTAAGTATTCTTGGGACTCGAGGTACATTTGGAAATGATAGAAAATGTAAAGAGGTAATGTATGACAGTGATTATAATTCAAGTGATGTGTGCAAGGAGTTTAGCAACTTGTGATAAAAATGACAAATGAATCCAGGAGCAAAGAGCCTGGCCATTGTTATTATTTATTAATAGAGCTAGTGATTCATTGGGAGGCAGGCTTTCCCATTAAAAAGCAATTTTTATATTTTCAAATACGTTTACAGTCTTTCATATATTTAAAAAGTATTATGTGAGCACAGCAAATCAAAAAAATTGACCTTCCTCAAAGGATGGAACAAGATGAGAATGTCTGAACATGCATTTTTTCCAGATTATATAAATCCATAATGCTATAATCAATAAGAGTGTATCTTTTCATTATCATTCCCTCTTGGAGAGGTGTCAGAGCAACATTCAAGGTTGTTTTCCTGTTTGGGAACAGTGTTAAATGGAGCAGGCATTCAGTGAAAACAAAAACATAAACAAAACCAATCAAGCATATCCCAGAAGTCAAGGAAACACATCCTTCTTGCCAAGTGGAAGAGAATGAAGCATGATACTTTTATACAGGGAAATTAAGACATTTGTTAACAATATCTCTCACTCTTCTTCATTGCAGGATAAATGCTCCAGGTGTGTACTTCTTTATTTTAATACCTTTCAACAACACCAAGTTTACTATTCTGTGTAAAATTTGTAAACCCATTTCTAGACAAATACATTTGCTCCAGTACAGAAGTACTCAGATCAAACACCCTGCCTGCTGATGGGATGCCAGCCTAAGTGATATCATTGTCCTTGTGGTATTCATTTTATTAATGAATTTATTAATTCATTAGGCAAATTAGTTTATTAATTATTAGGCAAAAACCAAATTCAGAGTAGTTTAGTTTTCTGGCATGGATGGTAAAGAATGACTGTATTTCTCATATATTAATTCTTAAAAAAATGGTTCCATCCCTCATCAGCAACTGCCTTCCCTGTTCTCCAACACCTTTCATTTCATCCTGGCACCACTGCATATACCTGAAGATTTATTTTCAAGTATTGGTGCCTTTGCAGGGGTCTGTATCACTTAGCAGGGGTACAGGTTACACATACAAAAAGAAGTGTTTTTTAAATAGGTGCTTTTAAGCACATTTTTTCTTATTAGACCCATTAGCTTTCCCCTAACAAGCGTGGTTTGTATCATCTCATTAAGAATCCACTTTTATAACTTCCTCTACTCAATAGTTTCGCCCAGCTCAGAAAAAAACATGACTAACAGCTCAACAAAGCTAGCTGTTCTCTTGGTTGCCCAATTTGAGGCATTTCACCATTGGCCAGATTCCAAAAAAGCGATGCTTCGTGTTTTCTGAAAACACTGGTTCCCAAGGGCTGGCAGAATGGTCCAAAGGCTGGACAGAATAGATTTCCTATCAACACAGTACCTCAGCACTGCACACCCAGCTGCAAAAGCCAGCATTGCCAGCAAGCAGTTCTCCAAAGGATGGACATTAAACAAACTGGTGAGACAAAATCACGGCAACTAGTTGGGTATCATCTCCAGCCGTGCTGCTGAGACACCACTAAATTTGTTTGCATGTGGGATGAGTTAATAGCATGGTGAATTCACATATAAGCAAACTGTTCTTCAGTCTGAATTTGACTTGACTGGATCTGCAGCACTTCTCTGGCTTGTCTCCAAATGTTTGAAAGCACAAGCTTTGCAGGTACAAACACTCATGGAAAAAAAAACCAAAAAAACACCAAACACAACAATCTGCATTTGTGGTTCAAATATCTCCTAGAGGATGATTTGCTTGTTGGTAGACAGCTAGTCCAAGCTCCTACAACACCTGAGCCCTCAAAATATGCCTTGAAGAGGCAGTATGTGGTGCACAGACCCGTGATGGCTGGGCCAGGTGGGGTGAACTCACCCCAAAGAAATCCCCAGTTGTGGTGGTGTGGAGTGGCATAGATGAAAGGAATTATTCATGGAACAAAGATGTGAATAAGCTTTATTAATGAACATATTTGAATTTCTGTATCTATTCATATTATTTAGGAAGGAAATTTTATTTAAGAAAGCATTGTTATTTATTCATTATTGAAGGAATAAGACTTTTCAATGTATGCACTTTGATTAGTTATTGGCAGTGGTTGATCCTCGCTCCAAAACACTCTGAAGGTGTGCGCTTTTCAAATAGCGTTAGGGATCATCCTGTGAAAAGCAATAAGGCCCTTTTGAGAAAGCTGAGAAGTTAGAAACTAAACATCTCTGTTTAATGGGGGATAAAAATGTAATATCTGTAGTCACCATCTGATGACTACAGCCTAAATCTGATTCTTTGCTATGTGTATTTACTTTTCTGTAGAAAAGAAGAAACCTAAGAAGGAAGTGGCTTTGGTGAGTACTGCTATCCTCAGCACAAAACAGAACAAAAGTTTTATTCTGAGCCCCATCATGCAATATGATCATCTTTTTATGGAGGATGACTCTTTTCAAAGAGATTGTTGAGATGGTAAGGGAGGAAAAAGGACTGTCCCTAAATGCAAAACAGGGTAGTGTTGCAGCTGACCTCCTCATCTGGAAGCAACCCCATGTGTGGTGGTGCTCACCCACATCATGGTTCCTTTGCTTCCAAGTGCCAGATTCTGCAGCCTCTCTGGTACTATTTTGTGACAAAAATACTGTAGTGACTTTCTTTGCTCCCAGATAGCTGTATTGGTATAAAGACTGCAATGTCCTCCCACTATTGCACTCTCCCTTCCCAGGTTCTTTGCAGAGGGAATTCCCAACCTTCCCCTGGGTGGAGGCAACCCTCTTGTGGTCGCACATGCGGAGGTATGGTGCATGTCAGACCTTTATAATTCTCCTTTGAACATCTAGTAGCAACACCTTTCACCACAAATGGCTTTTGTTGCCAGTTTTGATTAAACTCAGCCTACAGGAATGCGACATACAGGTCATAGAAATCCGCCTCCATCCATGTAGGTCAACATTTCCAAGTCATTGCTTTCCTTGCTTACCTAATTCACAGGATTCATTTAACAATTTGTCTCTCTTCACAGGAAATGATAAAACTCAACACTGTCTTTGACGGAGAAGCCAGAGACCCAGGTAATAAAAAGCAATTAACAGTGAATATGAATATTTGGCCAGAAACAAACTGGATGAATTGATTTAAATACAGTTCAACATTTGCTTTTCATACTTCAAGTTTGCTGTTTCCAAGGAGAGCAGGAGCTCTACCTCACAGACAGTGAAAAGCAGGAAAGTGCCCTACTAACAGTTCTAATGGAGGAATGTACCCACTTCCAATGGCCAGATTATTCACTGCTCACCCACATGTATGGATCTGGTGCCAGAGGTAGGAGGAGAGGAGGAATCAGCTCCTGTCCCCTGCCCTGGTTGCTGTCACAGTTCCATGGCTTTGACCTCCCCTTGTCTGAGAAACGGCCACAGGTTGATGCAACTGCAGGTGTATGGGTTCTGCATCCCAAACTGCTCCCTGGTTGCATGGGTGAGCTGATTGCTCCTGCACAAACCTCCTCCAGAGAGCAACAGGGCATTGCTGCCATTTCTCTGAGTCTTGAGCATCGCTGCTTGGGGAGGACAAGGAAGAGCATTTGCTTTTAGATAAACTGTGGCAACTGAGGGCCCCAGCATGGAGAAGGGTGGCTGGTGAAATGGGACACACTCAGTCAAAATATGCCTTCAACAAACACATCTGAAAATAGGCCCAAAACAATAGGTCTCAATTTATTCAGAAAAAGGCAGGCTTGTTCTGAGTCTTGGATTAATCTGGCCAAATTTCCACCCAAGTGTCTGTACTTGTGTTTCTTATTAGCTGGCTCCAGGCTCTCTGAGGCTGTGAGCTAATAGGAAACACTAGGCACAGGGACTTTGGTGAACAAACGGGGCCCTACTGTGCAATTAAGGCCATCCAGAGAGCTGCTTGAGGCTGGTTTGGGCTGGCTTTAAGCCCATCTGCTATTTATAAAGAGAAGCGGGAGGGATGGGCTGTGAAGTCCCCTTTGTAACTGGATTTGTTCAGTGCTAAACAGTGATGTTCTCCAACCTTGCCAGTGTTGTGCCAGGGCAGCTGGTGGTTCCCTTCCTCACAAAGCTGACCACGCCACATTTTTGCCTATCTGACCCCCTCCCGAGCAATAGCACTTGAGTCATGCCTCACACAAGCATTTCAATATAACATGGTTTTGTGGTTCCAGCAGAGAAATGAGGCCTCTCTTCTCCTCCCCTCTCCTCTCCATGCCTCATTCCAGACCTTAGAGGATCAAGTGTTGGCAGTTTGGAGATGAGATTTGATAATTCCCAGCATATCAGCTGCTGAATTTGATTAGGAGGGCCAGTCAGGAGCTGCTGCCTGATCTGGGCTGCTGTAACATGTCTGTCCTGTAAGCACTCAGGAAACACCTTGTGAAGAGATCCAGTTTCATCTTTAATTGCTCGAGTTGTGTTAATGTGTCAGAAACCATTAATTCTGATACAAACTGTAACATGCAGTAACACATAGCCACTATTTCCTTGCAGGCCTTAATAGTCCTTTGTTTGTCTCATATTAATAATGTTTAATTAGAACAGTACCACTAAAGCTCCTGTTCTCTACCTGTTTAGCAAGAGACAGTAAATTAGACCAGGGTGATGTGATCACATGGGACAGATGGCAGTTTTTCCACCTATCTCTGAACAGTAAATGAACTGAAAGAGCAGAGACTTACGTTTGGTGTCCAAGTAGAAACTGTTCACAAAATCTGAAAAGGGCAAAAAATTTTTGAAGCCAGTTTTTATACAGATGCAGAAGCATCTCATTTGGGCAGTGACCACAACTGGTAGTTGCCCAGGAAGGTGGGCATATTTGCTTGAAGAAGTGAAGCTTTTCCTCTTGGCTCTGTTCCCTAACTCATCACGTTTTCCTTTTTAGCCCCATCATGAGATCTGTCTCATCTTAACCTGCTAAAGTAGGCATGATTTAATTCCTTGTCTTCTCTCCTTTGCAAGTCACTGGCAAAATGTATGAATTCAATACCCAGTCAGGGGCCCGGAGATGGAAGAAGAATAATGAACCCCTCCAGCACACTGCAGCCGTGCAGGTAAGGTCAAGTGCCACAGGCAATGGTGGCCAAGAGACAGGCAGAGCAGAGGTGCCAAGCGAAAAAGTGACTTCAGAGAAGAGGAAAGAGCCAAGAGAAGCTGCCAGGCCCTTGTCTGGGCCATCCCAAGCACCAGGCCAGGACGGGCTGGAGATACCGAAGCAGAAAGAGGAGCCTGAGGACAGGGAGTTACCTTCAGCAGCCCAGCAGCGCAGACACTGACTCTTCTCCCTGAATGAATGCTGCCTTTGGTTACACCAGGCCTAAAGCTTTCTGCCTCTCTCAGCTGCAGAACATCAGGTGGCCTCTGCTGTAGACCCAAGGGCAGGTTGAAGCTGCGCTTAACATTGACATGTGTGGTAAGACTGGGAGAGAAGGGATGGAAAGTAACAGGGCAGTGACTGTGATCTGGGAGAATGCAGCCCCTGCTTTTCCATGTGCAGAGACAGTCCCTTCAGGCAGCAGAGTTTATTCACTGAGAAAGGAAGGATGTGAAAGAGTGAGAAAAAGAACCTAAAGCACCATAATGGACAGAAGCATCTGCTGCCCCCTGGGCTGTAGCCTCTGGCAGCTTCCTTCTGGGAGAGCTCCTTGCCCCCAGACCAACATGGCCATGTCCCCAGATCACTTCCAGGGGGGGCAATGTGCACATGGACACTGTGAATGGGGCCAGGAGTGCAGCTGCATGGAGATCTGAGCGTGAGGTTGGCTTCTGGTTCTGCTGTCTCTGCTGAGTCTGAAAAGCAGAATGGGTGAAAAGCAGCTTAGAGTTGAAAAGTGTGCTAGTGACAGCTAGAAATATTTTCGTTCTGTGTTTTATTTCATCCTTCCCTCTCATCCAGACTTGCCATAGAAAAGAACATAGCTTGAAAGCAGTTTTGGAGTGGGGACAACCTACATCTTGTCATGGCAACTAAGGGTCTTATGTCAATATTTTCAGCTTATTTCTCTTTTGTACCATGAGCAGCATTCAATAGCTTCACCTTTGGTATTTCCTTTGGCACATTCAGTGTTTTACAGAATCAAATGGAGCACACTTAAAAGAATAATTACAGTAAACACATGTGGTGAAATAATCTTTTCCAAGTGTGAGCGTGTATAATATAAGTGCTGTCTAGGAACGTGATGTAAAACAAGCAAACCCTGCAAGATTTCAGAAAATTATTTTAATCGGAAGAAAATTAATTATAAATGATTACTTAATTCTCAGTGGCTTATATTCTTTTCTTTCCTGATGAAAAAAGGTGGTTTTTTTTTGTTTTGTTTTGTTTTGTTTTTTGTTTTTTGTTTTTGCACCAAGGGACAAATCTCAGCTTGGTGGCAACAGAAAACCCTTGGTCTAGGTGCAGAGGGGACAGTAAGATCCTGCCACACACATTGGTTTTGTTGTATGAGGGGGGATGTGGCCAGGCAGGTAATGCCACTGAGGATCCCACACATTAAACAGCCACTCCTCACAGTGCTGCAGCCTTTTGCTGCACTCCAAAGGGGTGATTTGGCTCAGGAACAGCTTTCCTTACAAACACCAAACGTCTGGAGTCAAATGACATTTCATTGAGCAATCAGAAACTCAGCATGTCCTGGACACAATGATAGAGATAGGAAAGAGTGATTTATGGTCTCTGAATGTATTATCAGTTCCTGTGGCTGTGGTGGTTGTTATAGTGTTGTTTGCCCCTCCACCACCAACAGGGCTGGTTGGAGCTCCAGCTGCCATTGTTCCCATTCACTGCTATAAATACGCTACGTGCAATCTCTGTGTAGGTGGTTTTCCAGTCACTTAGAGAAGTCCTATGGTAACTGGTAGTGCTGTTGTAACTCCAATTGCTTTGTCATTATGACACAAAGAGAGACCCAAAGGCACACCCAGCACCTCCAAATATTGTATATCTTCATTTTCTTCCACCCGTGGAAGTGAAATGCACTGTTTTCATCATTTTCTTAAACCTATTTTCCTGGGCATTTCTCCAGGCCAGCCAATCTGCTTCCTCCATTCTTCTCATTCTACTTTTGTGATTAAGAGATAATTACCCCCTATTGAAGAGGAGGCAGAAAGAGACTGCAGTTTCAGCCAGAAAACCTGGAAAGAGATGGATAAAAACTCATCTTTGGCTACTGCTGTTTCTGCTGTTGAGCTACAACACAAACTTCCTTCCTTCTCAGGAAAAAGCCAACAATGGCAAAACATGTTATCACAGCACACTGTGAACATCCATCTAAGCAAACTCATTGTCACAGCCAATGCTGTTGGTGCTGCAGCCCCCCACAGCTGGCCAACAGCTGGAGGAAAGCCACTATCCCAGCACTGGAAACCTCAGAACAGCTGATGGCTCTACAAAGTTGACTGCTGATGTCCAAGCTCTGCCAGGCCTCATTGCTAATACTGCTCAGGGTGGGTGAACCTCCTGGTGCACCCAGCCCTACTGGGGGCAGTCCCCACAAAATAAGCCGTTGTACAATTCCATGCCTCTTGCTGCAAAGGGAAACCAGTGTGCTGAACCTAAGGCACAACTACATGCTTCCTGACCCACACTGCTGGTGTGATCCTCAACTCCAGCTCCATCCTACTCTTTCTTTTTACTATGCACAAACTTACATTCAGGATCTACAAAATCAAGGAACAGCACAGCTTTATCTGAGCCTCAGCTTTATGTAAAAGCAGCAGCATTTTCATAGCATCACAGAATCACTGAGGTTGGAAAGACCACTAAGATCCTCTAGTCCAACCATCAGCCCATGCCTGTGACCTCTCCAGACCAGTCCCTCAGTGCCACACCAACCCTTTTCTTGAACACCTCCAGGGATGGTGACTCCACCATCTCCCCATGCAACCTGTGCCAGTGCCTCACCACTTTCTGAGAACAAATGTTTCCTAATATCCACTCTGAACCTATCCTGGAGCAACGTAAGGCCATTACCTCTTCTCCTATTATTGTTACCTGGGAGAAGAGGCGACTCCCATTAGGTACAGCCTCCTCATCAGCTACCCCCAGTGCTATTGACTTCTTTCCCTGTGAAGGAATCAAGAACAGCCTCATATCTCACCAGGAATTCAGTTATTTGTTCTTTTTTTGGTTGAGCAAAAGGAGAGAAGACAAAAATGATTGACCTAGACACACACCTATTACGTGTATGAATATATGAAAAGATGCTGTGCAGTGCAGCTTTAAATATTAGAAACTTCATCTAGCTGTTCAACCAGCTTTGTGCTTTTTCCATTCCAAAGTGTTTCTGAGAGCACACATTCAGCATTGGAAACAACCACTAGATGGACTGTGAGTAAGGACAACATGCAGGCTCTGAGCATTTAATTACTGGAATGGTTAGCTGAGACTGTGAGGCTTTTCCACCATTGGAAGAGTTCAGAAGGCAAGTATGCTGCTGCGTGAAGGAGAGGACAGACTGGGTGATGGGAACAGGTATGAATTTTGGTGCCTTTTATTTTAGAGTGATGGCACTGATAAACTGAGACTACAAGAGAAAGGCTTCTGGTGGTTCAAGCAGGGTGGCTGAGGGCAACAGTTTCAGCCCTCTAGTTGCTTGTTACACATTGCATATTAGTCTTATCCAAAGTCTGCCAAAATCAGTGTGAGTTCTGCTGTTGTGTTTGACTTCTGCGTCTCCATTAGGACCTTTGGAATAAAGCTGCTGTGGAAGTTTCAGGAGAGATTACAGAAGAGCACGGCTCACTCTTCCACACTGGTCTCATACCCCCATAGCTTGTGGGAACGTAATGCTGTGGCTTTAGTGCTTTTTTCCAAAGCAAACACTCTTCTGATACATAAATGCTCTGCTTTCACATCGGTATTAACACCAAATAGAGCTTCCAGTAAACGTCTCAGCTTCTGGCCACATAACTTCATTTTTATCAGGGAATGTAAAAGTGTTCACACTATTTGTTCATGGTCTCCAAGAGACCCACACAGGGGAACAGCTTTTGGCTGCAGAGATGAGAATATCTGCCCACACGATTGCTATTTCATACCGCTTGGAGATGGACCGCTCAACGCAGCAGGGTCAGACAAGCGGGACAAATCTCCTCCTGAGCAAAGCGTCTGGCTGCCAGGTTACCCAAGTCCTGTTCTGGGAGCAGCAGCGCCGTGGCTGCGCAGCCCTGCCCCACTCGCAGGCTCGCTCGGCTCGTTCCGTGACGGCACGGCGCTACCGACGCGGAGCCGCGGCCGTGCCCTGACCCCGGGCGGGAGCGGCGCCGCGCGGGGCAACACTGACCCCCAGCGGCCCGGCAGCTCCACCGCGCGGGAAGGAACCGCCACGGCCCTTTTCCTTTGTGCACGCACACGCACGCACATACACGTAAACTGATGAGGTGAGGAGCTGCAGGGGACGGCCCGGGGCTGCAGCTGAGCGGGCCGCGGATGCGCACCCTCAAAGGGCTGATCCTCCGAGGCCTGCCCTTGCTGCCGATGCTGATGTACGGCGGATACAAACTGCCGCTCCGCGCTGAAGGCCTGCGGCACTTGCTGCAGATCTGTGTGTAACTGCACTGCAGACAGGAGGATAGGTTTGTAGCCTCTTGAAGAAGAAAGCAGAAATATTTCAGCTTTCCAGCAGCACTCCTCTGTTTCCAGTAAAGATGAAAGCTATGAAATGGGCACATAGGCCATATGTACATTAAAACAAGCCAGTCAAAATTGATCATAATGAAATGATTATTTCCTTAAGAGCTTCCAAGGCCCCAGGATAAGATAGGATACGTGCCCTTTGGCTTCTTGGATTCAGCAGTGTATTTCTCAGATTTACATCCTGGTGCAGCTACAACCTAGAAATACTCTTCATGGAGCTGAGTGCAAACCCCACAGGCTCCTGTGCCAGCCAGTCCTTTCTCATTACTTACGACGCACAGTCTCTCTGGAAACTAAAGCTAAAAATAATCCCCTCATCTCCTCTCCTGTCACATGCTGTGTTCTGCTCTAACCATAACTGCTTGATCTACCTGCATTCATCATCTTCGGGGATGAAATCCCACCAGCCCCCTGCCTGTTTATGCAGCCTCTGTGTCTTTTCCAGCTCCATCTCCTCCCCTGCTACCAATACTGGCCTTGGTCATTGCTTGTAGACTGTCTTTGAGCTGCCTTGTGTGCCACAGCCACTGTTGGGAACCTTTGATAGCCCAGAGCTCAGACCTGAGCTTTTGCAGTGTGATGGACTGTAGCACTATATTTCTCCTTTAGACCTATTACCAGCACCTCACCTTCTTTTCTCTCCTCTTCTGCTTCTGGCATGGGATATCTTCTTTGCTAGCTGGTTGACTAACATGAAACGCTCAGTTCTATCCAATCATGGCTGTTTCCATGGTGTAAACATGACTTGCTCCAGCAGTGCTATAAGTATACTGTGTCAGCAAGAAGTTTACAGGCGATGCTTGACCCTCTGGATGGGGGCTGGGGGGGGAAAGGCTCCCAAGGTACAATATTACACAAAGCCCTTTTGCTAAAGAATAATAGTTTTGATCTGATGGCATCATAGCTTCCTTTTGATTAATTCAGAATAGAGCACAGCAGAAAAATAATAATAAAAAAAAATCCCATGATCTTTAGACAGCCAGTGTGTGTCCAGCCTTTGGTTTCCTTGCTGGATACCAAACTTCAGGTCTTTCCCTGCAGGCAGTCAAAATTTCCTGCCCAAATGGTACCAACTGATCTGGTTAAAGAACTGAGTGATACAAGAGAATCAATCAAAAATATCCACATAAGACCTTCTAGGCACAGACACTTCCTTCCCTATGTGTGTGATATCTTAGCCTGCAGGATGAGGGACAATATTGAACATATGTTCTCCAGTCATTGTAGAGCTTACGAAGTGAAACTTGAGAACACAATTTCCACATCACTGCAATGGTTGTGGGATGCAACTAAAACATCTTGTGGTAAGAGAGCCAGCACAAAAGCGTGAAACAACAAATAACAATCACAGCAGTTATTAAAATCGCACTTTAAAAGAAAACCCCAACAAACTTGAAAAGGAGTATAGTCTAAAGGCTCAGAAAGGTAATACAACATTTACAGTTCAGAAAAAGGGAAAGAAAAGTGACAGAAGCAGAAAATGGCAGAATCCAGCAGAAAGATTAAGATGCACAGTGCAGCAATGCGCCTGAGAGCAAAGGAGAGCTCCAAGGGAACTTGATTGTATTAAATGCAAGCTAAAATTAGATGCTTGCAAAGGCAGATCA